CTGTTAATAATAATATTTAAATATTTTTGGATGTTTTCTACATTTTCAAATATATTGATTTCAAGTACAACACAGAATAGAAAGTATACAGTGCTCACTTTATATTTATTTTTTATTACAAATATTTACTCTGTAAAAAGCAAAAGAAATAATATTTTTCAATTCACCTAATACAAGTACTGTAGTGCAATCATTTTATCATGAACGTTGAACTTACAAATGTAGAATTATGTACAAAAAATAACTGCATTCTAAAGTTTTACATTTTTATTTTTGAGCCTACAAGTCCACTCATTCCTACTTGTTCAGCCAATTGCTCAGACAAACAAGTTTGGTTACAATTTGCAGGAGATAATGCTGCCTGCTTCTTGTTTACTTTGTCACCTGAAAGTGCGAACAGGCGTTGGCATGGCACTTTTGTAGCCAGCGTTGCAAGATATTTTCGTGCCAGATGTGCTAAAGATTCATGTCCCTTCATGCTTCAGCCACCATTCCAGAGGACATACTTCCATGCTGATGATGGGTTCTGCTTAATAACAATCCAAAGTAGTGCAGACTGACGCATGTTCATTTTCATCATCTGAGTCAGATGCCACCAGCAGAAGGTTGATTTTCTTTTTTGGTGGTTTGTGTTCTGTAGTTTCTGCATCAGTGTGTTGCTCTTTTAAGACTTCTGAAAGAATGCTCCACACCTTGTCCCTCTCAGATTTTGGATGGCACCTCAGATTCTTAAACCTTGGGTCGAGTGCTGTAGCTATTTTTTAGAAATCTCACATTGGTACCTTCTTTGCTTTTTGTCAAATCTGCAGTGAAAATGTTCTTAAAATGAACATGTGGTGGGTCATCATCCGAGACTGCTGTAACATTAAATATATGGCAGAATGCGGGTAAAACAGCAAGAGAGATATAATTCTCCCCCAAGGAGTTTAGTCACAAATTTAATCAACTCTTTTTTTTTAACGAGCGCCATCAGCATGGAAGCATGTCCTCTGGAATGGTGGCCAAAGGCTAAGCGTTCGTATGCCCCTTCATGCTATCTGGCACGTTAAATACTTTGCAATGCTGGCTACAAAAGTGCCATGTGAACGCTTGTTCTTACTTTCTAGTGACATTGTAAATAAGAGGCGGGCAGCATTATCTCCCGTAAAGGTAAGCAAACTTGTTTGTCTTAGTGATTGGATGAACAAGAAGTAGGACTGAGTGGGCTTGTAGGCTCTAAAGTTTCATATTGTTTTGTGTTGAGTGCAGTTATATAACAAAAACAATCTACATTTGTAAGCTGCACTTTCACGCTAGATACTGCATTACAGTACTTGTATGAGGTGAATCAAAAAATACTATTTCATTTTTATCATTTTTACAATGCAGATATTTGTAATAAAAAAGTGAGCACTGTACACTTTGTAACCTGTATTGTAATTGAAATCAATATATTTGAAAATGTAGAAAAACATCCAAAAATACTTAATACATTTCAATTGGTTTTCTATTGTTTAACCGTGCGATTAAAACTGATTCATCGCGATTACTTTTTTTTTTAGTTAATCATGTGAGTTAACTGCAATTAATCAACAGCCCTATTTTTAAGATTGTTTTTTTTTAACAGCAAACTCCATTTCACACTTTTATTTAAATTTATGATGGTGAAAAAGTAGCTGTAGTGGGGTGCCCTGGGTTTAAAATTGTTTTCATATAGCTTTTTAGCAAAGTCATGGCCATATATCATGTACAGATTAGACTAATTCCCACTTCCACTATGCATATAAATGTTGGTGGGGTTTTTTTTATTGTTTTTTTTTGGGTCAGTGTATCCCTACTCCATGTTTGTCAAACACAGCTTAAATCAAAATTCCAAGTAAACCAGGCACACAGTAAAAACATGTAAAAAATATAGCCTATCCCATGCTATAATAACCAGTTCTGATATTGTACAATAAGAAACATACAAACACACAACAGAACATTTTTCCATTGATATTTGATACTTGTTATTCACTCTTTTCAAAATAGTGAATTAAAGTTAATCCAACAGCAGTTGTCCCTCTCTCGCTTTGGTGGAGCTTGAGGCAGCTCTGGTGTGTAACTTAAAGGAGTCCACACAGCTTAACTTTTTTCAATTTGTTTTGAAAATAAGTGTAATGTTCTATTTCCAACCATCTGCCATATATTACATTAGAGAAAGGAAAAGGTCAGGGGGATAATGAGACATGGATTGTTAGCTCACTGCTTAGATTCTGCCAGAGTGAAATGATCACTGTTGCAGGATGAGTTGTACTTTACAGCTCTTTTAGTCCTTCTGAGTGCACCCTTTAGGTGACAGGCTTGGCTTCCTTTACCTCTCTCAGGATCCAACCACTTTTGGACTGATCTCTGGGTTGCAGCCCCCCTATTTCCCAACTGTGTAACCATGACAGGCCCAATTGTACTTACCATTAGCAATAAAATTTCTTTGTGGGACTGTGACCCATGACTGACTAAAGTGACATAACACAATTTTATCAAAACAAACATAGTTTATTCACCCAAAGGTACATAGCAAACAGGGAAAAAAAACAAGGAAAGGCCTGGTTCTTGCCTATGCTATTTTTCCCTTGGAAGTGTTGGGTAAATTGCACTCTGCTCAGCCATCCCTTGTCCTGGACTAGGAGTGACAGACAGCCCCTCTAGCATGCTGCCTTTTTTTCCTTCAGAGACTGATCTCCACCTGTTTTTATCTACTTAAGGCCCCTTTCCTTCCTGGGCTGGGGACTTGGTTTAATAGACCCTTGGATTCCAAATTTGGACCTGGCAAGAATAATCTTGGCTAGCCCAGCTAGAGTTAGGCAGGTGAGTATTCCCCAGTTAATAGTTTCCCTATTGTTTCTTTGGGTACCTTTGATACTTTTTTTTTTAAAGTACTGTACCTTATCTTTGCTGCTGTTTCCACTCTTACAGGTTTCTTTGATTTGACTTCTTGCAGCTAGGTAGGGTATCAAGCATATGAACTGAAGTGCACATGATGTTCATTAAAAAAAATCCCCTTTTCTCCCTCATTTGCCACAGAAATAAAGGGGACACTTTCCATTATCATGCAGTGTCAGATGTTTGAGACTGTTTCCCTGAAATCAACACTCAAGGTTTTGAACCACAGACATAGAGAAATCTGTGGCCTAGAAAGGGACTTTTCTTAACTACTTATGCTGGGAAGAAGATGAAGTGGCAGTCAAAAAAGCTAACAGTTTTGGGACTCGTTAGGAAAGGGATAACACCAGCAAGGGGCGGGTACCAGTGCCACATGTCCAGCTGCACTATAGACGAGATGGCAGTAGCAGCCTGAGGCTAGGCGCGGGCAGAGCAGATGTGCTGTAATGTCTGTCTGGATTGTCTCCGGAACAGTGACCCTTGAAAGTCACATGGCACTTTTCAAAACGTTCGCCCGGCTGCTGCTCGTTCTACGGATCCCCGGCAGGCCGGCCCGCCCAGGGCTAACCCCGTGCTCCCCCCGCGTCTGATGCACTCGGGACAAAGCACCACATCCTGCTACCTGGGAGCGATGCCCCCTCCCGCCAACGCGCCTTGCGCGAGCCGCTCGCTGCGCTGGCCGGCCTTCCATTGGCTGAGCGCCGCTCGCGCTCGCCGTCCCCCCACCAGCCTGTAGCACGCGGGCAGGTACTTCTGTCCCGCCCCTGGGCTGAGCGTGACGTTACTGAGCCTGCGCGACTCTTCCAAGCTGGCGGGACTTTAATTCATGGGCGGGAGCGCCTCCATGACCACGCCCACGCCACTTGTGCGCCCCTCTCCGCCCGGTATCGGGTCTCTCGGCTTCCGCCATCGCTATGGAGCTGGGGTGGGAAGAGAGGCGGGTGCTGGAGGAGCTGATGGAGAAAAGTGTCTGTGAGGAGCTAGCCCCGCCGGAGAGGTACCGCCCGGGGGAGGGAGCCGCCACAGCGCGCGTTGTTCGAAATAGGAGCGGGGCTCAGAGCCAGCCGCCTTCTCAGCCTCCCCGGCGCTCTTCGCCCTCTCGCTGCGGGGACCGACCCGTCCTTTCCGCCCCGTGTCCCGATTGTCCCGGACCCTCGCTCCGGGGATCCCCGCGCCGTGTGCCGAGAGCCCTTACCTCGGGGGACCGGCCCCGCGCCGGGGCGTCGCCGGGGTCTGTTATTCCGAGCCCGGGGAACGGCTCGGAAAGCAGCTGCAATTGTAGCCTGAACTTTTTCACGGTGGCTGGTGGCTATGTGAGGTCGGTGGTCCCAACATGCTGTTCTCTGGTAGGAACTAAGGAGTATCGTTTCCTGGAACCAGCTTACAGGCTGCGTCTCTGTACTGAGGAAAGGGGTGGCTGCGAGCCACATTGCAGAGATCCCCGGTCTGTCTTTGGGGGGAGAGGGACGGAGCCTCTTTCAAACAAGACGAAAACCTCCTTGGAACAAATTGAATGTGGAGTTTCTACCCCAGCGGTTCTCAAACTTCATTGCACTGTGATGCCCTTCTGACAACGAAATTACTACATGACCCCAGGAGGGAGAACCAAAGTTGGAGCCTGCCGCTTGGGGGTGGGGGTCCAAAGCCGAAGCCCAAGGGTTTCAGCCTCAGGCAGGGGGCTTGTAAAGTGAGCCTTGTCGCCACTTAGAGCTGAAGCCCTCAGGCTTCGGCTTTAGCCCCAGGCCTATCCCAGCAAGTCTACGTCAGCCATGGTGACCCCATTAAAATGGGATCGTGACCCAGTTTGGTGTCCTGCTCATAGTTTGAGAACTGCTGTCCTAAACCAGTGCGTTGCTGATGTAGGCTCCAGAGTTGAAAGCTTATACTCAAATAAATTTGTTAGTCTCTCAGGTGCCACAAGTACTCCTGTTCTATTTTCAACCAGGTTTCCCAGAAAAACTCTACCTTGGGATAAGATGTGGCAGAGGAATGAAAACTTGTTTTACGTTAGGAGTCTTGCTTCAGACTTAAATATGGAGTGGCTACGGCCTCCAAACACCACTGTGTATTTGGCTATATTAATGCAACCATTTCTTAAGTTTTCAGAAGAGAGCAGTTGACTTCTGTGACACAACACTCAGCAAAGGTTTGAACAACAGATACTGTGTATTAAGAGTCAACATAATACAGAAAAATGAAGATGGTCCTGAGAAACACCTGACAATTACAGCCTCTCAGTCACTTGAAGATACAGAACTGTGTATTCTAAAGAATGACTGGTAACCGATATGTAAATATAAACATTTTCTGTGATGGGGATGTGGTGTTAGATGATGAACTAGTTCTCTGCATGCTCTTCAGGGTGGGTTTTTTTATAGGGGTGTCAACTGATCAAACAATAATGGAATTCCATTTATTTAAATATTTTTGGATGTTTTTTACATTTTCAAATATATTCATTTAAATTACAACACAATACAAAATGTACAGTGCTAATTTTATATTTTTATTACAAATATTTGCACTGTAAATCAACAAAAAAATAGTATTTTTCAATTCACCTCGTACAATACTCTAGTGCAGTCTCTTTTATCATGAAAGATGAACTTACAAATGTAGAATTATGTACAATAAAACTGCATTCAAAAATAGAACAATGTAAAACTTTAGTGCCTACAAGTCCACTCACTTCTTGTTCAGCTAATTGCTCAGAGGAACAAGTTTGTTTACATTTGCGGGAGATAATACTGCCAGCTTCTTGCTTACAATGTCATCTGCCAGTGAGAACAGGTGTTCGCATGGCACTTTTGTAGCCAGAATTGCAAGGTATATACATGCCAGATATAACTTAAATAATTTTTTCACATCTTAGCTCATAGAGCCGAGAAGCTCATATACCCCTTCGTGCTTCGGCCACCAATGCTTCCATGCTGAGGACACTCGTTAAAAATATAATGTGTGAATTAAATTTGTGACTGAACTCTTTGGGGGAGAATTGTATGTCTCCTACTCTGTTTTATCCACCTTCTGCCATATATTTCATGTTATAGGAGTCTCGGACCCAGCACATGTTCATTTTAAGAACCTTTTCACTGCAGATTTGACAAAACACAAAGACCAGTGTGAGATTTCTAAAAATAGGTACAGCACTCAACCCAAGGTTTCAGACTCTCTGAAGTGCCTTCCAAAATTTGAGAGATGAGGTGTGGCACATACTTTCAGAAATCTTAAAAGAGCAACATTTTGATGCAGAAACTACAGAACCCGAACCACCAAAAAAGAAAATCAACCTTCTGCTGGTGGCATCTGACTCAGATGATGAAAATGAACATGCATTGGTCCTTACTGCTTTGGATCATTATCGAACAAAACCCGTCATCAGCATGGACGCATGTCCCCTGGAATGGTGAAGCATGAAGGGACATATGAATCTTTGTGCATCTGGCACGTAAATATCTTGCAACACCGGCTACAACACTGCCACACAAACACCTGTTTTCACTTTCAAGTGACATTGAAACAAGAAGCGGGCAGCATTTTCTCCAGGAAATGTAAACAAACTTGTCTGAGCAATTGGCTGAACAAGAAGTAGGACTGAGTGGACTCGTAGGCGCTAAAGTTTTACATTGTTTGTTTTTATTTTTGAATGCAGGTTTTTTTGGTACATAATTAAGTTGATCTTGAAACATGCTTTCTCACAAATATTAAAAGATGCTGTTTCTGTAACAGTCAGTGAAAATCATACACCTCTACCCCGATATAACGCTGCCCTCGGGAGCCAAAAAATCTTACCGCGTTATAGGTGAAACCACGTTATGTTGAACTTGCTTTGATTCGCCGGAGCGCGCAGCCCCGCCCACCCGGAGTGCTGCTTTACCGTGTTATATCTGAATTCGTGTTATATCGGGTTGTGTTATATTGGGGGTAGAGGTGTACTTGTTTTACTAGTGTAAATTGCTTTTTATTTAATTTTTCAGTGGATTCTCCAGGCTAACTTCTTGAAAAATTGGATGGTTTACTCTGATTTTTGGAATATGAACTTCATTTCCAGTATATCCTTATGTCTTGCAAATTGTTATTGCAATTTGTAATTACTTTACAGGTATTCTGTTCCAGTAGTTCCAGGAGACATCATTCACTTAGAAGGAGATTGTCATTCTGGTACCTGGATAATAAATAGAGACTCTGGATATCTAATTCTGTACCCAGACTTGCTGCTTTCTGGCACAACAGTATCAAATAGTATTCGATGTATGAGAAAAGCAGTACTGAGTGAAAAGTTCAGGGTAAGTGGTGAAACCATGGAATATAAAACATTTTAAAACTAGTGACAAATCACATCAAAAAAAGTCCATGCTTTGGAACAGGGACATGAACATTGGCCGATAGTGGCATTTGTCTGGGCTGTGCCTTTTGCCATTCATGTGAAAATCTGCTGAAATTTGGCCAAGTTATAAACCTATGAAAAATCTTAGTTTGCACATTATCAGAGACTTTGTGCAGCTTTGCAGCCAAGTTAACTGGAAAATTCCTTGTGTGCTGAGCAGGACTTTACCTGTAATTGCAGCTTCGGGCTGCTGCAAGCCAGGGTTGGATCCAGGCGCAGGAACTGAAAGCAGGGAAAATCTTCCTGTTCTCTCCCTGTTGCCTCCCAGGTAGCATGGGTGAGGAAGCAGCCTGATTTGAATGCAGAGGAGTGGGGAGAGTTCATGGTTCCATTCCAGTGGACCGAGGAGAGGCTGGTCCCTTCTGCTGGCAGCAGCATTCAAGGGTTGGGGGTGCTGAAATGAGCCCGCTGCTGCCTGCGTGGGGGAGGGATGTAAGGGCTGGGGGCGGTGCCGTTCTGCTGTTTGGATAGGGGTGACTGGTCCATGCATTCTGGGATGCAGTGGCAATTCCCTCCTGGGGACCATGGTGTCGAGCGGGGCTGACTGTTTGGCAGAGAGGGGAAGATCCTAAAATGCCTTACCTGCAGAAAGTATTGAACCAGAAGGGAGGGGTAAGGGAGGGGTAAGGGGTGTGTGTGTGTGTGAGAGTGTGTGTGTGTGAGAGAGTGTGTGTGTGTGAGAGAGTGTGTGAGAGTGAGAGGCTCTCGCAAGGTCTGAAGCTCCTGGGAGAGGCTCCTGCTTTCATGGGTTTCTAAATCTCTGTGGTTTTTAATTACAACTCTTGAAAGCTAATAGGTACTCAAATCACTGCTATGTATGCCTATGTTGCCCATATGTGTATGTATTCCTGATAAGTCACATGAAAAAACACCTTACACTCTTTAAGTCTTCTTACAATATATTAATATATAAAAGTGCAAGCTTGCCCATGGACAAAAATTTAGTGCTCAGTGGAGTCTGTAACCCACTCAGAAAAAAACAAAAATTTAGAGGGGATGTTAGAAGGTAACCCTAATGAAAAAAGGGCTTACTCATGAGGATTTATGACCCGTTTTATGTACATTACAGTAAAATGTATTGCTGGTTGTGATTTTTTTTTTCTTGTAGAGTTGTGAGTCCAGTTCACGGCAGATGCTGATTGGTACAATCCTTCATGAAACTTTCCAGCAAGGAGTAACAAATAACTTTGCACACGAAAAACTACAAGAACTTGCCTTCAGAACTGTCCATGGACCAAAGTATCTAAAAGAAATGTAAGTGACATTGCAGATATCTGTCTACATTTGAAGGATGGAAGAAGATAATAGTCCTGTCTTCTAGTTTAAGTGTTGTCTGTGGTGCAATAACTCTTTTTTAAAGTACAGGATATTCAGAAGTAGGATTACTAATTGAAGAATATTCCACCAAAATAATCTTTGTAGAATTCATCTTTTTTATAAAGACACTTTCTGGTCAGAGTAAAAATACTTTATTTAAATTGAATTCAGCAACTAAATAAGCCTTCAAAACCATAGCCACTTGGGAAAGGTGAGTAAAATTATTTTTTTGGCAGGGTGGGCAAGTGGATTTTTTTGGGTGGGATATTAGATTTTCATGAGTTTTTCAAACCTTAGCGAAATGTGACAAACGTAATTTAAAAAAATACTGTACTGATCCCTAGAAAATTCTCAACTGACAAAACCGTGAGGTTTTACATTACTAATTAGTAATTACTACATTACATTACTAATCTAATTATTTTTATGCCACTCATCTTAAATTCTAGCTAAACACACTAACAGTTACAGAAATCTCTTTTCAATTCCCAAACTCCAATTTTTTTTTTTTTTTGGCCAAGTAAAAGTATTTAATATTTGAAAGTATTAGATTCTACATTTTGATCTGAAGGCTATCAGATTTGTGATGCTAATCGCAAGACTCTGATTAACTTTGCTACAAAGTCCATCAATTATGAATAAGGCTCTGTCTTTGTCACAAAAGTCATGGATTCCGTGACTTCTACAGCAGCCCCGTGTGGCTGACCCAGGAGGCACCTGAGCAGCTCGGGCAGTCCCCGGGTCAGTTGCACTAGCTGCTGCTGGGGCAGTCTCTGCCCCCTCCTGCCCCCGTCCCCCAGCAGCAGGAGTTTGGGTGTGTGGGGGCTCAGGGCTTGGGGCTGCTGCTTACCTGGGCGGGGCTCCCCCTTTCTCCTAGCTCCACATGCTGCCTCTGCCTGCAGCCAGGTACTACACCCACAGCTCCCACTGGCCACGGTTCCCAGCCAATAGGAGCTGCAGCACTGGGATTTGGGGCAGAGCGGAGGTAGCTCTAGGGAGCTGGGGCCGCTGCTTCCCTGGAGCTGGGTAAGGAGCCTGTCCCAGTCCCACCAACCCCAGCACCCGTTCCCCGGGGCCATGACTTCCTCCTCACCCCCCTCCCCAGCACCTGCAGTGTGCCCTCCCACAGGCCGCAACTTGCCCCCCGAGCACCTGCGCCCCCCTCCCCAGCACTCAGGGGCCCAGGCCCACCAAACTCTTCCTCCCTCGCCCAGTTTTAGTCAGGGGTATTTTTAGTAAAAGTTATGGACAGGTTACGAGCCTGTGAATTTTTATTTACTACCCATGATTTGTCCATGACTTTTACTAAAAATATCTGACTAAAACGTAACCTTAATTATGAACTTAAGTTGTGCAGAAAGTACTTTCTAAATCACAGGCTGCGGGGAAAAACTTCAATGGTCACTTGTCCATGGACAGTTAGAAGTTCAAATATACTGAACTGATAAGAAATATATTTGTCCCAATTCTCAGGTTGGGGTCTTATTCTCCCATGTGAGTTAACCATAGCAGCAATATTTCATTTTATCTAAAGGTATTTCTTGCTCTTCTACTTGCTTTGTTGGTAGCTATTGTGGCAGGTTTCTTGTTTAATTTTTTGGGGTATTTTCCTTCAGTTGTTTTAGTGTTTAATTTTGTCATCGCTTTAAAATAAACTAAAATGCCACTCCTATCATCACTCTGAACTTGAATTAAAATTGAGACATGTAATTCAATTTAAGTAATTCTAATGCATAAATAAACTTAAGGATAATGGATGTCAGGTTTGAAATCTAGACCTGATAATACAGAATACCACTAATCTAGTCCTTAGTTAGTGCTGCCTAACATTATAGTAGAGTATCCTGTGACTGTGTTCACATAAATTTTCATAGTCCCCTTTGAAGCCTTTCCTTTTGTTTTTAACTGAGGCTAATATTTAGTAAACTACTTCAGAGTGCACAAATATTTGTGTGTAAATCTTTCAGCAGAGATTTAATTTTTCTTTATAGATGTTTATAACTAATTGTCTCAGATGCTCCATTACGGTACACTCTTAACTTCACATAGCAATCCTACAGTGCAGAAAGTTAAACACTTTTGTGTAAGGTTTCAGAGTAGCAGCCGTGTTAGTCTGTATCCGCAAAAAGAACAGGAGTACTTAAGTCTTTGCAGGATGGAGGTCCAAATAAACTAGATTCCGTATTCAGTTTTGAATCTATTTTCCTTCACCCTATATCATTCCTTATTTTCTATGTAGTACTCAACATGTATGGGTTCACTTTTACAGGTACTACTTAAATCTGAAACAAGAAGAAATCATGCAAGAGATAGAAGAATATCTTCCATCAATATCTAAATGGGCAGAAGACTTCATGCACAAACCTAGTCAAGCTAACCACAACAAAATGCAGCTAAAACTGTAAGAAAACATTACTTGCACATCAAAACCTGTTTTATTGTTACCTAGCAAATATATCACTAGTGAAATTACTGAACTTTGTCACATTAATTTGTTTGGTTCATCTTAATTTTAAAGCAAAAACCTTTATTCTTGTATGCGTTTATTGATGTGGAGCTGACTCATGGCCTCGCTGTCTAGAAAGTTGGCCTTGTTATGCAACGAATAACTTGGTCCACAGCAAGCTACTTGTTTAGCTGCAATTGCGTTGATTGTGAAACAATATTACAGGTGTTCATGGTGATGGAGAATGGATCTTGTAGAAATAACACCTTTTGTTCTTAAAAAGATTCTAGTCACAGTACTCAGTGTTGGCCAATTCACAGAGTAGAAGTTTTAGCATTGGAAGAACGAGGTTATTGGATCAATTGATTAAGCTAAATAAAAATATGTAGTTAAGATTGAAAAGCTGGCTTTCATCATACTCTCATTGCAAAGTTTTCTTCCTGCATATGCTTCCCTGCCATTTGGCTGCCTGCTCCCAGGGATGTAATGGTCAGTCACCTGGTGCTCTGTTTCCTTTTTATTCCTCAGCAGTGCCAATTTAACTACAAAAGTGCTTTTTAAATAGTGTTAACTTCAAGGTAACTTATAAAAAGGATAAATATTTTGAAGATCGAATAAGTCATCTTCTTCAGAAGGAATTCATGACACTTTAAATTTTGCACATCTGAAACAAACATTTGAATTACATTTTTAAAAACAACTTCTTCAGACTGAGAAATTACCACATCAGTGTACAATTTAAGGTAGCCTTTTGAGTTGAAGCCTGATCCACATATAGAAGGTTTGCTTGAGTGGGCCTTAACACTCTAGCCATCTTAAATTAATGGCTAATACTACACATGTAAATAGCTTTGCCATTGCAGTGCATGCACACTAACAGAAGTTCCCGGTGAAGATTTAAATCTTTGGAACTCTCATGGGTATCTGTTTAGAGAAATACAGCAGCTTATATCTGTTTCTAAAGTAGTCTTGTAACTCTTCAGGTGATGACAAAGTTACTTGTTTTTTAAATTTATTTTGTTTTCCTCCTAGACCAAGTGAAGGAAAAATAGAAGATCTATCGTGTAATATTGAGGTTACAGAGTTCCTGGATATTGAAGAGAATATCTGGTCTCCCAGGTTTGGATTAAAGGGCAAGATTGATGTTACAGTTGGTGTGAAAATACACCGCAAGTCTGGAACGCAATATAAGATAATGCCATTGGAGCTTAAAACTGGCAAGGAATCTAACTCCATAGAACACAGAAGTCAGGTAGAAATGTTAAATGTTCAGCATACACAATTGTAATATACTCGTTTGCACTTCATCTAATAAATGATGGCTGAACCAGTTTATATGTAATATAATTAGGTATTATGGATGGCTTATGATCTCAAACCTGTATTTATGAATGATGAATTGAGGAATGTGGAAGTGTTTACCAACTACCACCTTCAAGCAGAGGTCGAGATTTCCATAAGGGAGTGAGGAGGTAATCTCAATGAGGAGCCTTTTGCTGAGTCTTCTTTATTGGCCCCAGTGGAGGAAACCAGGATCATTGTGTGGAGACCCTGTATCTTTAACCCCCAGAGCCTTTGTGGGAGGCTTTGCAGAAGAGACAATATAGCTTGAAATTTTGTTCTTTCAGGAGATTTCTTCAGGGCTGGATGGGTAACTATTCATTCCTCCATAGCTGATATAATAACTCCCCACTTAATGTCCTCTTGCTTAACGTTGTTTCGATCTTGTGTCCCTGCTCAGTTACAGAACATGCTCCATTTACAGTTGTGCAATGCTTCGCTATAACGTCGTTTGGCTGCCTGCTTTGTCCACAGCTGGCAGCTCCCCTACGCCCCTCCCGCCCGCTGGCAGACGTCGCGGATCAGTGCCTTCCCCCTGCCTCCTGCCTGTGGCAATCAGCTGGCTTGTGGCGTTCAGGAGGGAGTGGGGAGGAGCGAGGACTCAGTGTGCAGGCTCCCCCCTCCCTCCCCCCCAACACCACAAGCCAGCTGATTGCTGGGGGCAGGAAAGGGAGGGGGGAGCCTGTGCGCTGAGTCCTTGCTCCTCCCCCCCTCCCTCCTGAACACCGCAAGCCAGCTGATTGCCCCGGGGAGGGGGGAGGAGCGAGGATGCTGCATGTGGAGTAAAGGGGTAGAAGAGGCGGGTTAAGGGTGGGGGCTTGGGGGAAGGGGTGGCGTGGGTGGGCCGAGGGTTGAGCCCCCCGCCCCTGGTGCTTGCAGAGTAGGGGAAGCTGCTGCTGCTGCGCAACATGCTTCTCCTAGCCTACAGCACCTTCTGCCTCCTTGCCTGCCTCATTGTCTCCAGTGCCAGTGGGCTGTACCTGTGTGGGGTAAGGCAGGGGCACCTCCCAACTATAGTACTGTACGGCAAAAAAAAATTCCCTTGGAACCTAACACCCCCCCCCCCCCCATTTACATTCATTCTTATGGGGAAATTGGATTCACTTAACATCGTTTCAGTTAAAGTCACATTTTTCAGGAACATAACTACAACATTAAGTGAGGAGTTATTGTACCACAGAGAGGCCTCTTCAGGGTCCAGAGAAGGGGAGGTATAATGTTACAGAGGTGGCAGAGTATGGGTATTTACTTCTGGCATCACCAACTAAATAAGCAATTCTCAAATTTCAACTTTTTTAGAGATTTTCGTATGGAAGAAATCTTTAATGAAAAACATCAATTAGATGATAAGCATTTATTCTTTTTAATCTTGTTGGCAATGATGAGGCTGCTTAACTGTACAACCTTAATGTATTCACATGACTTATGCATATTATGTAAATATCAAAATACACTAATTTTTTAAATGTCTTCAGGTTGTTCTGTACACCTTGTTGAACCAAGAACGAAGAGTGGATCCTGAAGCTGGATTTCTTCTTTACCTTAAAACTGGCAATATGTATCCTGTGTCTGGCAATCGTATGGATAGGAGAGGTGGTTTTTCCCAAAAACAGTGCTTAACTATTATAATTTCTAAGAGGTTTTTTTCAACATTAACAGTTACTAAATTGTTCACTCTTGAAAATATTTATACTGGTTGATATACCATTTCCAGGAACTAGTAAACAGTGTTGAGATAAGTTATTTGTTTTGACAAGAATGCTTAATTTTCCTGGAATAACTTTGGATATAAAAAAAAATACACTACACCAAAAATATCTTTGATGAATACTGTTTTTGTTATGTACGTGCCCATTGTTTGGGGCTCCAAATCAATTCATAAATACTCACTTTTTTTTCCTGTTTCTAACCCTGAAAGACTAACATTTATTTATTTTTTTTTAACAGAATTGCTAAAGCTAAGAGACCAACTGGCATTTTACTTATTCCACAGTATGTGTAAATCTGCCCTGGGAAATAAGCAAACACAACTTGCCTCTTTGCCTCCTCTAATTGATGATAGTCGGGCCTGTAAATATTGCTCACAAATGCACAACTGCTTTCTTTATAGCAGGTAAAAAAAACTTTCGGACTTTGGATAGTAAACACTTCAGTTTAAAAAAAAAAATCAGTTTTGGATTTTTTGTGGTGATTTCACAGCATTGATTAACACTTGCCCTGGGTATGCAATGACTTTCTCCAAAGATAAGTATTGCTCCATTGATTCTTCCCCAACCTTGACAATTTAAGAATTTGTTCCTACAGAGGCTTATCCAACTGTTTATCTTTATACTGAGTGAGTAGTCCCACTGAAGTTATATACACAAGCCTTTGCAGGGTTGGGGCCTAAACTTGTGATTTATCTTAAGGCTTGTCTACACAGGTAATTGACTGTCATAGCTATAAGAGGAATAATTACACCAGAGTGGCATTCACATGGGGAGTTATGCTATCATCACTATGCTGATATAATTATTTTGCTAGAGCTATACTAAAAAAAATTTCCACATAGAGAAACCCTTAATGACTGTTTAGTGCATCCTAACTTCTGAAAACTTTCTGCACTTAATTTTAAAAGTTGAATTTTTAATAAATTTTTTTTGCCTGTCCAACGGTAGTGAACTTTATATTTTTATTTTATGATAAAATACAATTAAAGGCAGTCTCAAAGATATTAAATGGGTTTTCAATAAATTAATTTATTAATTATAATAGTGTTTCATTTGTATATTAAAAATTCAGATTTACATCATTTATATGCATTGGGTATGAGAGAGTATCCCTAAACATCGTGGCCAAAATTGTATGCCTAAAATTATATGGTGGGGAGATCTGGCCCCACATGCCTACACACAATAAGTTTTCAAATTTAAATCACCTATACTCCTGTGATATTTTCCATTTTAAATTCAGTCTCAGTGTGTCATCCAATAAAGACCATCCTTAAAGCTGCCTGGCATTTTTAGTTAGGTTAAAATTGTTTCCTTTCAGAAGTGTTTTCACTTCTGACGCTATACCAAAAAGTCTACAGGTATTGCATTTGAAACAGTTGGGGGGCGAGCCCATTATGTATGTTATGTAAGTATGTACATTAAATAAAATAAGGGGATTTCATGTTCAGAACACAAAATGATGCTATATTAATAAATATAGCCTTCAGATTCTTTACACACCTGTGGTTTGTTTTGTGAATAGAGAGAAAATTATGCTTGAATTATTGAAAATAAAAAAAGTGAACTTTTCATCTGTGGACATGCCAAAATTATTACCAGGGACATCCAGTCACCAATATGAAAGTACTAGTGTAAATAAGGGATGTAGGAACTGGTTCTGTATTTGGAATTTCATGCCCCCATGTAAAGACTTGAAATAGGATGCTCTTCCCCTAAGTTTGATTTGTTCAAATAAATATTTTCATTTAGCTTTTGTATTTTACCTTATAGTATAAATGCTACTGAATTTATTAAGCAAAAAAGGAAGTCATCTGAACTTGATGCTTCTGTCTATTTTTAGAGCTGTAGAGCAACAGATGGATAATGTCCTTATTCCTCCTGCTGTGGTACCCATTATTGAAAAAGAGACCCAGCATCTGAAACTGTCTCACTTACAGTATTTCAGCCTGTGGTATCTGATGTTAACCTTGGAGTCACAGTGCGGAGAGGGCAAAAAGGGACGTAAAAATATATGGCTGATGCCTGCTTCAGAAAGGTAAGTTGGGAGTGAGGGCATTGTCTATGGACAGCTCTTACCTGCTTGGTTTCTTGTAACTCATTGTGTCTCCTGCGAAAGATGAGATTTTTCTTTCAATCCTTTGGTAAATACTCTGATATACAGTTACCAGAGATAGCCGGAAGTGCTAACTCATCTGTGAGGGGTAGAGGGGGGTCTATCAAAAGTATTGGGTTGGTAGATCTGGTGGTATGATATCAGCAACCTGTTAGGTGTTTCTTGGGGAGAGGAGGGGAACCACAGAAGACCCAGGAAGATGATAAATTGTGCTTTGCAATCTTATTTTATAAGAATGAAGGTAATACTTTTATTAGCCTCACCTCCCTGATGTGTGCAGTTGGATATTGTCTGCCACCCCAGCTCCTTGCGTTGCCTCCCTGAATCAAAGCTCTTGACAGGCTGTATTCTGCTCTGCGTTGTATTGCTAGTGCAGGCTGCTCCACAGATGGCTGAAAGTGGACTGGGGGTTCATGGTAATGCATCATTTCCTGTTAATCTCACCAGCAGCCATGCATAATTTTATTGGTGAAATGCAGTAAGAGACTGTTTCAGTGAAGCATGGGCAGTAATATTTACGTTTTACTACTGAAGCTTTAAAAATCAAACTTACATTATAGTGCGAGACAACCTTTGTTTTAGAATTTAATACTTTGACTTACCTTTGAGTAATCTCCACTGTGTTGACTCGGTAGACCACTTATCTGGGAGTTTCACAAAACAAGCCATGTACTTTTGTATTGAAGCCCACATATGCTTGCTTCCAGCTTTAGCGCTTTCCCTTTTGGGAAATAACATCTGATAGGGTAGTGTAAGGGGTGGGACTCACCCCTGTGGCACCCCCTACTGGTTGCTTTGGGGAATTAGCTCATCCAGCGTCTGGAGCGCCCTCTGCAGGCCAGTGATCCGCCTCTACTCTGGCCCTATGTCCCTCCCAGGACCCTGCCCCTTGCTCTGGGTGCTGCCCCCTGGCAGTACCCACAGATCTGAGTGTCCCCTCCCTGGGGAACCCCCACCCACTATCCCCACCTTGCCTCAGTACCAGCCCACTGCCAGTCACCATCAAGCCCCCGCTCCCTCGGGCAGACTGCAGTATCAGCCACTCTTCACTGGCAAGGGGGGTTTAGACCTGCTGCCTTGGCCTAGCCCTGGGCTGCTCTCTGCAACCCCCAGTACCTGTTGGCCTTAGGCTAGGCCGCAGCCTGGGGCTTTCCAGGCTGGAGTTCCCCAGCTCCTCAGCCTTTCCCCAGCCCTGCTCCACTCAGGTACCCTGTCTCTGCTCCCTGCAGCCAGGCCCTTCTCTCTCTAAGTGCAGAGAGAGACTGTGTCTGAGCTCCTGGGTCCTTGCTTTTATAGGGCCTGCTGAATCTGTTTGGGGCATAGCCCCAACTGCTGCCACTTCCCCCAATCAGCTCAGTCTTCACACTGCCTGCTCCCTGAGCTATCTTAGGCCCTTCCAGGCAGGAGCAGGTGTCCACCCTGCTACAGGTAGGATAGAAATTCGTAGATGGTAGGGGGGTGTTGGGTTTTTTTTTTTTTTTTTAAGGTCTAGAAGAGACCATTATGATCTAGACTGACCTGAATAACACACACCATATAATATCACCAATTAATTCCTGCTTCAATCCCATAACTTATGGTTGAGCTAGAATATATATTTTAGAAAGATATCCAGTCTTGAATTGATCAAGGCTTTGGAACGTAGCTAATACATTTTTCTTGGGCAGAAAAAGACAGCCAATATGGTCAAACAAAACTACTGTAAGACACTACAATGAATTACTATTAAATCTTAAACTGATAAAAACCTACTTCTAGAAAATTACTCAAGGCAGCTTACACTTTTATTTTGAATGTGTTCATAGAGAAAAGGCTGGAGACTGCATTGGAAATATGATCAGAGTCGAACATGTGCAGGAAGCTTCTGAAGGACAATATCTACATTATTTCCAGCGTAAAAATGGTACCATGCCTGGAACAAACCTGTTGGTAGGAGATAGAGTTGTTGTGAGTGGAGAGAAGACATTACTTGGCTTGTCTGCTGGCTATGTTAAAGAGGTCAATGTGACAACAGTTTCCTGTTTATTGGACAGGTAATATAAACAGAAAAATATGGCTGTTAGAAAGGAAGTATGTGAGTGCTTTTTTTACAATCTTAAAGTTAAGCACTTTATTTTAATGCCCACCATCATAAAAAAACAAAAACAAAAGCCCCACAGTGAATTCAAATAGCAAAACTTGGGCTAGGCCTGAGAACCTGTGTGTGTGTGTGTGTGTGTGTGTGTTGTC